TTAGAGCTTAATTTAAATTTAAAAGGGATGTAATTTTGATCAAATTGATTGCCGTGATGTTGACGTTTGTTTCTTGATACAAATTATTAATACTACTTCTCTTCTTTTTATATTATTGTCAATTTCTTTTTCATTTTTAAAAAAATAGAAGAAAAAAATTACACGTGAAATTTCACATACGCAAAGCAGAAAAATCATGGAAAGTATTATTCTTAATGATCTAATGAATATTATATTGAAAATATTAATGAATGTTTAATGAATGAATATTATTCCTAATGATCTATTATTATTCTTAATGATTTGCAATTTATTCTTAATGATTGAAAATAACAAAACAAATTGTTCTTTGATTTTTGATAATTAAAACTGGTTCATATCATTTTACTACTAAGAAAGCTTTTGTGAGAAAATTTTTACTCCAAATCATTAATCGATTAGTATGCGTGAATTTTACCTCAAATCAATCAATCAATCAATCCATTTTTAACCAATTTTATTTTCAGTTCATAAAGTGATTAAAAAATAAATTGTCGAATATTATTTAAATATATATCGAAAATTTGAAAAGAATAATTTGAAGTGAGATTTTTATTAAATTTAAATTTATATGAAAAATTCGTAGTGATTTTCAATGAAATAAGCAATATTTAATCATTGTAAATTGGTACACAAATATTTTTCTTCTTATTTAATTTAATTTTTTTGTTTTACTTTTGCTATTATTAAATCGCATTCAAAGTTCAAAGGTTTAATTCTATCCTCATTTTTGAATGAAAAAAGCTATAATAATTCTAAAACAAAATGAATGTTTTTGTTTTATTTTTAGAATTTAGCGCCATTTTAAGCAACGATTCAAATTTCTTTTTTATGAAAGAAATACAATTGAAGCTTATTTCTATTAGAAATTACTCAATTTCAAATAATAATATATTGACAGCCAAATTTGAATAATTAAGTCAAAATATATTTCGATATTCAAATCCTAAGCTAATAAGAAAAGTTTTTATGCTGGATATTTTAGGCAAGTTTGAAAAAATGAAAATAATTATCATTTCAAGAGTTTAATTTTGAACTTAAATCAGTCATTATAACTTTGATAAGTAGTTGTGCGATCATTTTACATGTTTTGATTTTTTTACTATTACAAAGTCTAAGATTTGCAACTTATAGTTGAAACAACTTTAAAAAACTTATCAAGCTATCATTTTAATCGAGACTGACTAAGTGATCGATTCATTATGTCAGATCGGAAAAAGGTATTATTTTGATTAAAAATTTATTATTTGCTTTCCAAGAAAAAAATATTAAAATTTTAATAAGTACCATCAAAAATATTCACTTGCATGTGAATGAGAGGATTTTGGTACTATAAATTTGAAGACAAATCCTTTCATTGCACAAAATATAAATACCAAAAAGTTTTTTTCTCAAAAGTTGTATAAATATAAAAAGATTAATCTGCCAGCAATTAAGAAGTTCAGTTTCAAATCAAATATTTGAACTATTAAAATTTGATTGCTTTTTCAGGTTGTTTGTTTTTTTATCTTATTTCTTGCTGTTTACTCGTTAGAATCCATCGGCGGATTTTATATGGCAAGGTAAGTAAATTTTGATTGAAAATTTAAATAATGGTTCAAAGTGATTCTCCAGCTCAGTGATTCTCCAGGAATTTAAAACAATTATGAGCTGAATTTTTGAGTTGTATAAATTTGCATAATTTGTATTCTATCACAATACTTAACAAATTTTCAAACCGATCTCTCATTTATCAATGTCTTTTGATATCCTTATTGTTTTTGTCCATTATCATATTGATGTTATTATCAGTGCTGTGGTATCAATAGAAAAACAGTTCCAAATTCCAAGTCGTATGTCTGGACTGATGGTTTCAGCTAGTGATTTTGGCTACATACCATTTGTTGTTTTTGTTAGTTATTTCGGTGGTAAGGTATGCTTTTAAAATTAAATAATAATCATCAACTAATAATCATTATATTGATAACTGATAACTCAGACTTGTTGAAGCTATTGATAAGGCTTACTCAAACATATAAGTCATATAAGGGTAAAAAACAATGCCTTTTATTTAAGGATCTAATTGGATTTATAACTTCAATTGACTATAGTTTGCTTACTGTATGATACTGAACATACTATACATGGGTCAAGTGACTTTTAGAAGTTTAATCAGATTATTTGTCTGATAAGTATAAGGAAATAAGTCAAAAATGTTCAAATATTACGATAAAATCATTTCACTCAATGCTTTTGCTAGAAAAAATTTACCACAAAAATAAATCTGTAACGCTCAAAAAGATAATATGGAAAAATGTTTCATATAATTTCAGATTCATTTAATAAATTAAGTATCATTAAGAAAGCAAAGAAAAAATATATTAGCTTTATTTTATGGATAAAAAGTAAGCAATTTAAAAATTATAACAACAGAAGTAGTTAGTTGTTGCTAAATAGTATGAAACTTTCCAAATACTACAAATAAAGTCATTTAAAATACTGAATTTGATCATTTTTCAGTTTTTGATTAATTTAATTAATTATAAAAAGGTCTAGTTTGCTTCATAAAAAGTGATCAAGCTAATTTTAGAACATATTCAAATTGATTAAAAAGTTATTGATAAATTTGATTAATTTTAAGGGTAATCGCGCTCGATGGATTGGTGCAGGCTGCTTAATGATTGCGGTTGCAGATATTCTGATTAGCATGTCAAACTTTTTGTTTCCAGTAAAAACTGCTGTTCTTAATTCAACTTTTATGGGTAATTTATTAAGTTATTGCAAAAACAAATAGTATTAATAATTTACGTGTTGAGTTATTATTGTGTTAATATATTTATTTTGAGAAAGTGTATATTTAAGACAGATAATACAAAAACCTTCCAAATTAGCAAAGGGACTAACTGTAAAGAATTGAAGTCTATTTTTTATTTCTTTTACAATTTCACGTAAAAACGTTGCACTCACCAAATATATATATATTCAAATCATTCTATTCAAATATTCAAAAATGAATGTTTGTGTGCGATTTGCAAATTTTTTGCTCAAAAATAAAGCTAAAAATAAGAAATGAGAACTTAAATTTTTGCGTACGTTAGAATGAAATGCAATTTAAACAGCGCAAGTAGAAGTTTCAAATTATTTGTAAGACTCGTTTTTGAACTAAAATGTTTTTGATAAATTGCATTTTTATATACATTTTAATTTGTTATCAATAATTCATTTAGCGTTAATTGAAATGTTGATAGCTTAAATTCAGCAAAATCTGTTAAATTCTTTATAATATTTTCACGTATTCCAGAATCTCACTTGACAAGTAATATGAGTCGCTTAGAGAATGATATGCAGCTAAGCGAGTTTTTAAATTTTGTTGGAAATTCTTCAATATCAGAATTACATCAGGTATTATAGCTAACTTTGCATATGTTGCTAATGCAACTTTTAGTAACAAATACAAAGTTATAGCCGTCAAAACCACACACGTAAACTTTGTATAATATGTAAATGAATTCATAAGTTTATAAAATGAGTGTTTCCAATACTCATTTTCAACTATCAAACTTTTTACATTTTTATTCGCTACTAAAAATAAATTCTGTTTATAATGCAGTTAAAACTTTTCCATCCATCTAGTGTAGAACTATAAATTTGTAAAAATGACGCGTTTCATGTAATTTAAAGTGAATGTTGTGCTTAGTCTTTGAATATACTGTTCGTGCGAAACAAAAAACAGTAGCATATAGTCAAATATGATTATTGTAAATTTATTTCTGATATAAAAATCTTTAATATAATAATAGTTAACAGAAAATTTGCATAAATTCATTGATATTAATTAATCAGTGTATAAGTTCTATTTTAATACAATAATTTCAGTATTTCTTTCAAACTGTACTAACTGTATTTTATTTGTATTGTTCAGTTTATTTTCTTTTAGTCCAATCAGCCAAAATAACTAATTATTGCAATCTTGCAGCTGAGTCCGACTGCAGTGAACATGACATTCAATCAGTTTGCGACTGATTTCTTATCAGTTTGTTATCAATCGCTCAACGCTTCTTCAATTTTATGCCAACAATTTTTTGTATGTTTGCATTTTAATTTTTAAAAAAAGGTCAAATTTCAAATTACTCTGTCAAGTATTACAGGCAATGAAACAAGCCTTGTTTTACAATTACTCATGATTTTTGC